CGGACCCCGTCGGAATCCGGGCTAGACGGCGCCCAGCTGCAGGTCCTCTCCCCCACCCCACCCCCACCCCAGAAATCTCGGTCCAGCCCTGGGTCCTCTGCTGTTAATGGGGAAAACGGGGCTCAGAGGAAGGAGGGACCCGCCCAAGGTCACACAGAGGGTCGCAGGCAGAGCCTGGAGAGGGAGCCGGGCCTCCGGCCTCCCGGCTGGGGGTGTCCACTCCGCCACCGCGTCCGCAGCAAGCACCTGACGGGAACATCAGTCCGAAGTCGTCGCGGAAGCGTCCGGGACAGCCCGGGGGACACTGTCCGCGCGGCCGTGCCGGCTACGCTGGTGCGGGGGCCCTGGACGGCCCGGGGGCGCTGTGCGGGGCGCGAGTCCAGCCACCGCGCTGCGCACTAGCACCAATGGAAATAATGCTGAATGGAAATTCTAATCGAAAAATAAAACTTAAAAAAATTAGCCCAATGGCGATACCCCCGACCAAGCCTCGCACATGGCCAGCACCCCATCAATGCGTGATGCACTGATTCACAAAGGAGAGTTCAGAGCAAGGGTGCAGATGACACGGGGCCAGGGCCCTGGTTTACATTCCCAGGGAAGCGAATGTGACTTTGTACTTTATCTCCTGTTGAGCTCTGTTTTTTTAACAGCGTATCTTTAGAATAAAACTTTCCGTTTGTAGAGGTATTTGTTTTCAAGCTCATCAATAACAGAATTTCCTGGTTATCCCTTAACTAACCAGGACCTCTCTCCAATTTCAAGTAATTGCTGTTGTCTGTATTGTTAACCTAAAAAGAAAAAGCCAAGAGGCAGCAGTGTCTGTCTGAGATCCAAGAGCAGCCATTCGGGAAGCACTGATTCAGGGAGAAGCCCAAATAGTGTCCCAGTTGGGGGGGCGCGGTGATGGCAAAGGGACTTATGAGACAGGGGAGGAGACTAATTACGTGACAAGGGAGGAATTTCTAGAGGTGCAAATGAGCTAGGTTATTCTTTAGCCGTTGGAGGCGACACTCCTGGTAAAGAGGCCTTTTCTGTCCAGCGTGGCGCCTCCAGCGGGCCCTAACTAGGCAGAGCTCCGAGAGTCACCGCGGTGGCTGCCCTGGCCCCACGGTGGTCCTCTACTGGGGACAGCGCTCCTGTCTTGCAGTTCCTGTCCAACTGTGTAGTCGGTGCCTCGCTGGAAGAAGTCACCGAGGAGGAAGAGGAAGACGATGAAAGCAAGTCAGCGATGCCCGACACCGCCTCATCCAGGATGAAGGAGGGCACCTTCCAGGTCGTGGGCACGCTTTCTGCACCCGGAAAGCCTGAGCCCGACTTCGCCCTGGAGACTTACTCCGTGAGTCCTGGTGGTTCTTGCCAGGGACAGAGGGAGGGAAGGGTCACCTCCCCCTGCACCCCTCAGGGCATGTGGCCACTCCCTGCCACTCAGGCCCCACTTTCTGCAAATGTATGGGACCAGGGAAGGTGAGGGGCAAGGTGGGGCCGGTCTTTGTCCTTTAAAGGAAATGAATCGCCAGTGTCCATACTTTAAAGAACTTAAGTTAGATGTTCTTGGAAAGTGTGGACCTGATCTGGGCTTTCAGACTCCTAAAACTCCCCCTGTACGCTGCATTTGGACGGGCCCCTCGGTAATCCATTTGGCTGGGCCCCTCGGGATTGCATTTGGGTAGGCCCCTCGGGAATGGCGCCCCTCACACTGCTGCATTACTGAGAAGCTCTGCGGCCTCCACCAGGCAAGTGCAGCCGCTGGTTTGGAAATGCACAGGCCTTGGGTAGTGATCCCCATACCCACCGGAGGTACTGCTCTACTGGGAAATGGGCTGGCATCCATGCAGCAAGGAATAAGTAGTTAAAACGCCATGATCACCTTGGCTGGGGTGGCTCAGTTGGTTGAGGGTTGTCCTGTCCACCGAAAGGTGGCTGGTTCATTTCCCGGTCAGGGTACATGCCCAGGTTGAGGGTTTGGTCCACAGTCAGGGTGTATACGGGAGGCAACAGATCTCTCTCACATCAATGTTTCTCTCTCTCTCTCCCTCTCCCTTCCTCTATCTCTAAAAATCAATAAAAACATATTTTAAAAACATACAATGATCACCAGTTACTTTTGTCTAATGTAAGAACTTTATACTTTTGACCATTAAAANATTTTAAAAACATACAGTGATCACCAGTTACTTTTGTCTAATGTAAGAACTTTATACTTTTGACCATTAAAAGTTTCTGTATTTTTAAAATATTCCCCACAGTCAACTGTAATAAGATACCTTATATCTAGAAAGAGAACAGCTTCATTCCATCTTGAGCATTCCCGAAACAATCCCCATAAATCACTCATCAGCACTTCTGGGTGACTCAAGATATATAATTGCTCAAATAATCCTGCAGAGAGTTTGAGTGATTTTTAAATGCCTCCCACATTTTTTCCCAGTGTGTTCTAATTCTTCCCTTCTGAATTGGGGTGTAAACAGCACACCTAAGATCATTATGCAATTTTTTAATCATCTGTTCCCAGCTATTTTCATAAATGTCTTTGTTGTTTGAAAATTATACACACAAGAGAGCCAAAATGTCATTTTACATAGAAATCCTTCTGCAAATGTTTTCTGTGGGACTCAGCATGTCTAATTTGGAAATTTTCTTTCTGCCTAAATATTAAGGGTACTTTGTTAGCTTCTTGATCAAATGACTGTCAATTCTCTTTGCAGGACATACCTCGAGAAGAACTTCTCATGCGCCTGCTGGAGTGTGATGTTATTATTTATAACATCACTGAGAGCCCGCAGCAAGTGGAGGAAGCCCTCTGGGCAGTCTCTGGTCAGTGGGGTGGCCCTTTTATCTCCAGGGACACCACTTTTGCGTAATTTACTTTACCTAAGAGTTATCTAATGAACACTCATCAAATTGGGACCATTAGGAGAAATGATGAGACTTACCTAAAACACGAAATGACATCAGGCTAATGGATATGCCTGTGAGTAGTGTTAAAAGATAAACAGAGACATATTAAACATTTTGAGAGTTTATTTGAGCAGAAATCAATTCAACTTAGGTAGTGCCAAATTGGAAGTGTTTAGGAGTGTTCCATCAACGGGAGCTGGGAAGAGGCTTTTATAGAGAAAAGCAGGAAGCAAAGCAAAAAAATGATTTGATTGGCAATAGCTGAAGCATTGACCTTATTTGGAAAAGCCAAGTTGGCTGTGATTGGTTGTCCTTATATTTTATTTCTTTTATTATTGGTGGTGTTTTTTTGTGGGTGTCGTGTGTTTTTTTGAGAGAGAGCAAAAGAAACATGATTTTACTGTTCCACTTATTTATGCATTCATTAGCTGATTCTTATATGTGCCCTAAACAGGGATCGAGCCCGAAACTGTAGCAAACTCTAGCCAACTGAGCAAACCAGCCAGGGCTTGACTTTTTAACCTTGAGGCATTTACTGGCTTAGGTTTTGGTTTGGTGATACAGACTGCGAAGCTATCAGAACCACCTCAGTCTATTGGGCCTCCTTGTTTAGTTATTTTTAACAAAATATTCTATCCCGGAGAATAGAATATTCTTAATCATTAAAAGAAATGAAACATTAACTCCCAAAATCTGACCTTTATTCACTCTGCGGGCACTGCTTAAGGAGGTGTGGTTGAATGTATCGGGCAGATGCAAAGCCAGGTAAGGAAAAGATTGTGCCCTCCAGGCACACGGAGGCCTACAAGAAAGCTGGGCCTACAACACAGTGGGGAGAGCACAGGCCCTGCAACCAGGCTGCCTCCGCTGGGCTCTCTGCCCCACCACTTCCTTCCACGATTCTGGGCAAACCGTACGTCCATTTCCTTCCCCGCAAGACAGAGATCAGAGCAGCACTTCTCTCGTGATAGTGAGAGTTCAATAAGCCCGTGAATTGTGCTCGTCCATGTCCACCGTGATTGTCACCATCCCAGCCCTCCCGGCAGGTGAAGGCGCTCAGGCCTGCAGGCCTGAAGGAGGGAGGGAGCTCAGGTTCTCAGCGGGCTCAGCAGAGGCCAGGCGGCTGGGGGGCGACTGCCAGCAGCAGGGGTGGGAGGGACAGTGCAGCGTTGGCAGGGACGTTAAGCGTCGGAGGGGGCATTAAGTTGCTCCTGAGGAAAGGAGTAACTTCCAGTCCCGCTAACAGTGCACATGGTTTCTAAAACACTCTGCATGGATCCAAGTAACCGCTTGCTTTCTGGCCCCGCAGCACTGAATGAAGAAGTGAGTCACTTTGAGAAGCGAAAGCTGTTTATTTTGGTTTCCACGGTGATGACCTGGGCGCGATCCAAACCCCTGGACCCTGTAAGTAGTGCCACTAGCTTCCCCCGTGGGCGGCATTTCACCCTCAGGACCTAGTAATCTGTGTGCGGAGTGAACCTGTGTTTATTCGTACTCTCCTGAACCCAGACTCATAATAAGCAATCGATCAATAGGCTTCCCTGACTCTGAGCTCACTCAGTTTGAGGGGCCTACTGCTTTACACGCTGTCTATTAAACGATTCCAGTCCTTGCTTATCACTTATACATTTTATTTTAACGTATTGAAAGAGCTCTCTTCTAGACTTATCAGACCTATATTTCGGTCATCTATATTCTTGTGCATACGTTAGAAGGAAAATAGGAGCAAAATACAGAGGTGATGGTACCCCCCAGCCTTCTTCAGGTCCAGAGTTCAGCTTCCCCGAGTCACACCTGCACCCCGTCTCCACACCACTCGGCGTCAGACCCGAGTCATGTCTGTAATCACAGGCACTTCCCTCTCCTGTGAAAATGTGGCCCCAGCGCCCGTGTCCCAGCGCTGCTTGTTTCCTTTGTCAGCGTCAGACTCGCACTGGCTGTTCTGCACCTTTGTGTGCCCCGAACGGCCTTTGACTTCGGTGCTGAGCCGCAGCTCGATCTTTTCAAAGCCACTTAAAAAGGCGGCTAGAGCAACTCGTGTAGTAACTGAATGGGAAGGGATGACCATCGGAACGGTTGTTCTCAAGGTCACCGGGCACCAGCAAGGACAGCGTCAACGCTCCCTTGCTGGCTGCAGTGGTGCTAAGTCGTTGATTACGAGACATCTAACTTCAGAGATGTTAGGATGGGAAACATGCACATGTTAGAATCCATGGAATACATTACTTATAACAAGGAAATATTTAGGCATTTATCACACTTCCTGTGTCAAATGGCATGTTTGTTTAATTCTCTCTCCCTTGGCGGGCCAGGAAATCCTTGAGGGCAGGCACCAGGTTTCCTGTTCTTTGCTTGTCGAGAGTCCACTCACCTAGTTGCTGTCACCTCTAAGAGCAGGCTGGCCATTTTATTCCTGTTACGGCTCCTTCCCTCAGAGTACCTAGTCAAGTGTCTGCTATGTAACAATCATTGGTCACTTGGCTGGCCTGATTGATTGTCCCCAGTTATAAACCAACTCACACCGACATTAGCAAAATGGGAACTTAATGACTCACATAACTGGTAAGTCCGATAATGGATTTCAGGCACAGCTGGATCTAGAGGTTTCAGCAATGTCCTCAGAGCTCACCTCCTCTTTCTTACACTCGTTTCCAGACCCTACGTGAGTGGGATTGCCAAATTTAGCAAATAAAAACACAGGACACCCAGTTAAATTTGAATTTCAGATCAATAGCAATTAATATTTAGCATAAGTATATCCCATGTGATATTTAAGATGTACTTATACCAAAAATGTGTTTGTTTATCTGAAATTCAAATTTAGCTGGGTGTCCTATGTCTTATCTGGCAACCCTATGTGGGAGCCGCTGGGCATATTTAAGAGGTCATCTACTTAGGTAGCATGTATTCATTGAGTGTGTGCTATGGACCCAGAATTGAGGTGGGCTAATTTGATCTTCCCCCCAAAAATGAATTTTCCCCTACTCTTTTTTTAAAAATATGTTTTCTTTTTTATTGGTTTTAGAGAGAGAGGGAGGGAGAGGGAAAGAGAGAGAAACATCAATGTGAGAGAGAAACATCGATCAGCTGCCTCCCATATGCACCCAAACCAGGGACTGAACCTGCAACCTGGGCATGTGCCCTGACTGGGAATTGAACCCGGTTGTCCTTCAGCGCAAGGATTCATGTTCAACTGACTGAGCAACACCAACCAGGGCTCCCCCACTCTTTCTCCCGCTGGCATCACCATTGTTTCCGTTGCTCACCTCACTCCCATCCACCAGTAAATTCTGTTAATCCATCATCCAAGATCTATCATAAATCTATCTTGTTCTCTTTGTACCAATGGACAACTCACATGGCTTTGTAACTGGTGCCTGCCATCCCCTCCTCCCGGTCAATCTCCAAGGAACAGCCTCAGTGGCCTTGTTCACAATTCAAACCATGTGACAGTCCTGCCGAAAACCCTTCAATGCCTCCTGCCACACTCAGAATAAATCTAAAGCCCTCCACACGGTCCACCAGCCCCAATAACCCGGCCATCACCTACCTCATTCGCTACCAGTCCCCAGCTTGGCTCCAGTCCTTTGGGTTCTTCCCATTTTTCAAACCTGCCAGCGGCTGTGCTACCTCGGGGCCTGTTTCTTCTGCCTCTCTGGTGTTTCGCGTAAGCCTTGCACGCAGACGCTCTGGACTGGTCATTTAACTTGGACCAATGTGATGTGATTGAAAGGCTCCTCACTGAACATATGTTTTTAAATCCTACTCCAAGTAGGACCTCTGAGTCTGGATGGACCTGGGGAAAATCACTGTGTCGTGGAACTCATTTCTCCCTGCGATTCTCCAGTGGGCTTTAACCTAGTCGTTCCAGATGCCTCCCTCCAGGGGACAGACAGGATAGGAGGGTGAGTCGGGGAGAGACTGGGCGTGAGGACAGCTCAGTGGACTCTCGGGAGACATTTTTCAGCCCTGTTCTCAGGGCAAACTGATATTCCATCTTATCCAATGAAACCGGTTTTTGCAGCCCGAGACAGACACTTGCATGTGGCATGTTCTTATGCACGTGGGGTTGACCTGAGGGCAAGGGGCAGTGTAGAAAAGAGAGAGAGAAAAATCACAATTTAGATTCAGAACAAAAGTACATACAGTGCAAGAACTGTTAAGAAATGGCTTATTGCCCTAGCCGGTTTGGCTCAGTGGTTAGAGCATTGGCCCTGCCCTCGGACTGAAGGGTCCCAGGTTCTATTCCAGCCAAGGGCACGTATCTGGGTTGCAGGCTCCGCCCCAGTTGTGGGGGAGCATGCAGGAGGCAACCAATCAATGCGTCTCTCTCACATCGATGTTTCTCTCCCTCTCTCCTTCTCTCCCTCTTTCTCTCTCTCCCCTCCACTGTCTCTGAAAAAGCAATGGTAAAAATATCCTCAGGTGAAGATAAAAAAATAAATAATAAATAAATAAATAAGTAAGTAAAAAGAAATGGGTTATTTAATGACTGTGTGGAGCCACAGTAACAACCTGGCACCATCTCTACAAAATAAAAGAAGGCATTTGAATTTTGAATTTTGTTTAGATTAAGTTTAAATGATAAAATTTAGCTAGCTAGCCCTGGCCGGTGTGGCTCAGTTGGCTGGGGCGTTGTCCTGTCCACCAAAAGGTTGCGGGTTCAAACCCTAGTCCCGGCTGTGCGGGAGGCAACTGATCTGTCTCTCTTCCTCTCCCTATAAAAATAAAAAATTAGCTAGCTAAAACACTTTCAAGCACGTGAAGTCATGATAAAAATAAGCAGTAGTTTTTAGAGCACTTTGAGCTTACAGGAGCCCGCCAGGCTTGGCTCCCCGTCACTCTAACTGCGAGCTTGGCCCTGTCCCTCTCCCAGGAGGACTCGGAGATTCCTTTTACTGAAGAGGATTACCGAAGAAGAAAGAACCATCCTAACTTTGTGGACCACATAAACGCGGAGAAGATGGTTCTCAAATTTGGGAAAAATGTGAGTCTGGAGGGGTGCAGCGCCTGGGGTAAGAGAATTCTTTTCTGAGGCCGTGAGCAAGGGGCGCGGCCAGGCTGTGCCGTGTGCTTTCGCGCATCGCCTCGCCTCGGCTCGGCTGACACCTCCGGGTGTGGTTCCCTTGTCCTTACACCCATGGATTTCTGAGCTCCAGGCTCACCCCAAGAGGCACTGTCCTGACCCAGGTTCTGGTCCAGCCCACTAAGTTGAAAGCCTTGTGTCGGGTTCCCAGCAGAACTCAAGGTCCTGCCTACCAAGGAGTCTGGGGGTGCAAAGAGTTGCTCAGCCCAGAAGGGGCAAATAACTCAGAGCTGGAATGGCGGGAGTGGGGGGATCATGTTTTCCCTTTTTCCAGAACCTCTCTCATTTGTTTGTGACAACTCTAAAAGGCGCACATTAGCCCGGCCAGGCGAGGCTCGGCAGTTGAGTGTCGACCTAGGATCCAGGAGATCATGGTTCGATTCCCGGTCAGGGCACATGCCCAGGTTGAGGGCTCGATCGGCATGCAGGAGGGAGCCGATCAATGACTCTCTCATTATTGATGTTACTATCTCTCTCCCCCTCTCCCTTCCTCTCTCTGAAATCAATAAAGATATATATATATTTTTTAAAGTGCACATTAACCTCATCTTACAAATAAGAGGTTTCCAGAGGTTGAGTAACTTGCTCAAGGTCACATAGGTGGGATTTACTGAGCAGCATTCTGAGCACTTCTTGGCCTTGTCTGATCTGCTCCTTACAACAACCGTATTGTAGACGTACATAATTATCCCCATTTCACAGATGTGGACCCAGGTGGTAAGCGGTGTCATGTGGTGGAGCTGTGATTCAAGTCTAGATCCATCAGCTTGTGGGTTTTGTCGTGTTTTTGTTTCTGACTCCAAAGCTCCATCATTCCATAGAGCTGATCTTGACACACCCAGGTCACCGGTCATTAGGACATACCTATGGCTGAGAAGTTCGTGTGAACAGCAATAGTAGCTTATAGCCTTCTGTTGCAGCCAAATTTATCATTTTTATATATATAACGAAATAATTTTATCTCTTATATTTTATCGAAATAGAGAACAGGAATGTCCTGGTGATGAATAAGTCCTAAGAGCTAAAATTGCGGGCTCATAAATGTTTACCAGGGGCTGTGCTGAACGTTTTACTAATGGTGCCTCATGCAGTCCTCATGGATCTAATGCATTATGCTCAAAATTCTGTGAACTAAGTGCTATTATCATGGTCCTCACTGAGCTCATGGAACTTATATAGAGCCCCAAACATCTAAAGATTCGAACCCACCCACTACGTTTTCCGGGGGAGCTGAAGACCAGCCGCAGTGGTATGTAAATGTAGTCCTAAGGTGACACCTAGTGTTCTCAGAGGGTATTACATTAGGAGCTTTGTCCCCAAGTTCAAGTTCTGTCCAACTATTAATTATTATTATTATTTTACTTCGGCAATACAAACACCGTGAGTATAAAATATTTGGTGGGAACCACTGGGATTAGAATTTATAGCCACTTTCCTACCCCATTAACTTATAACCTTAGCCAAGTTATTTAACTTTTGGGGTTAAAATAAATATAATAAAGGGGGGGCAAGACTAGATTAAATGGTCTAAATTTCTTCCAGTTCCAAACCCTATCACTGTATTATTTTATTAAACACTGGATATTCCCCCCAAGTAGAAAATCCATGATTTCTTGATTATTTATGTAATTCACTAATTGATGTGAATGACAGTCTAAAATGAATTAAGCGGGTAATTTAAATTTGAAAGACAAACCCTTGAGAAGCACAAGGCTAAGTTTAGAATTCCTTCCAAAACCTTGGCTGGGTTTGACATGCTTTTCTGTTTCTTTCCTCTGACACGGGGTGGATTTTTTAAAATTGATTTTTAGAGAGAGGAAGGGAAGGGGAGAGAGAGAGGGAGGCATCAACGTAAGAGAGAAACATCAATCGGCTGCCTCCCGAATGTGCCCCAACCAGCTATCGAACCCACAACCAAGGTATGTGCCCGGGCCAGGAATCAAACCCGGAACCTTTTGGTGCACGGGACGACCCCCAACCAACTGGGCCACCCGGCCAGGGCTCAGTATCCCCTTTCAAAGGTACTATCTCTATCTTAAACAACACCTTAGAAGCCTGAAAGAAGTCATGAGATTTCCTAAAGTGCTCATATTTAACCAGTAAAATAATCTGGTTCAATAGGGTTAATAATATTACACTTGCTTTTCTTTCCCTGTATTTTACCTAATAGGTAAAAAAATTCGCGACTTACGTAATTGCTGCTGGGCTTCAGTATGGAGTGGAAGGAGGCATCCTGCATTATTTTTTTAAGGTTATGACTTTTCTATGACTATGGGGATTTTTTTCTTTAATGTTTTACAGTAAGATTATACAGTTGAAGATACTTCTGGTTGCTTCTAGACGTGGCTATGCCAGTATAACAGCAGAGAGCTGGGGGACTAAAGGCGCGGACCATAACCGCCTGGTTTCTTTCCCATTATTGACAACTTGTCGTCACACTGTCAGATTAACAAAGGGAAAGGTGTGTCTCTCTCAGTCCAAGACCTCACGCTCCGTAAGCATCTTCTCTCTATGTGGGGAGCGTGCAGATGACTAATAAACACAGCCGATGAGATTATAGATTTCTTGAGAAGCATTTTAGCTCTGAGGCTGCACTTCATTTATCTTAATGGGATTTGATAAACCTCAGCAGAGCTGATTTACCAAAACCTCTCTTTGAGGCTCCCTTTGATGGTTACTGCACTGGCCGATCGATCCCGTGGCGCCCCTGCCCGTGGCTCTGTCTGTGAGCCGCAGCGGCACACACGTGTACTGGGGAAATACGCTTTTGCTTTCCTTTCTTTCAGTTGGCTTGGCTGGGCGAGGTCCCTGCACTACCAGTTTTTGGAGACGGATCAAACGTAATTCCAGCAATTCACGTCCTTGACCTAGCGGGGTGAGTGCTCTCCCAGAGACGTCACTTCCCCCGAGTCCTCTGACTCATGTCCGTATATGTGAACATCTGTGGAGAAGCCCCTTACGTGTGTTACTGCGTGTGTCCTTCGCAACAACCCAGTGCAGAAGGCCCTGTTGCGATGGCCACTTGCATCTGATGAAATAGCGTCCACACTTCTGAGGACAAGGTCAGGCCCATCCTTTAAAAACTTGGCCCGCAGAACAGCATGTCTTCCAGTCCTGGAAAAGGAAGACCTGGGTCTGTGCGTCATTCTGGGACCTAGTTTTGTCTTGGTTTGTCCCAGGTGAGACTGATACGTCCAGCCCACCAATGTAAAGTCCAGAAGTCGGATTGCGGACTCTAGAGCTGAAGTGGGTTGTTTTTGGCAACTGTAGGTAAAATTAACACATGTTTTTCACGCTCACAGGGTATCCCAGCTCTGTGCTCCAGGCGGCCCCGCAGGCCCCGCTCCAGCTTTGCAGACCCTGACTTAAGTAGGGGCCAAAAGATGGTTCACTCTATTTGTGGTCCATCGAGTCTACATTTCAGGTCCAGGGGCTTGTTTTGGGGTTTTTTTTTTACTATCCCCTCTGCTCCCCATGCACTGCCCCACTGCCCCCTCCATGGACGGGACACACTGCCCACTGCCCCCTCCATGGACGGGACACACTGCCCACTCCCCCCTCCATGGACGGGACACACTGCCCACTGCCCCCTCCATGGACGGGACACACTGCCCACTGCCCCCTCCATGGACGGGACACACTGCCCACTGCCCCCTCCATGGACGGGACACACTGCCCACTGCCCCCTCCATGGACGGGACACACTGCCCACTGCCCCCTCCATGGACGGGACACACTGCCCACTGCCCCCTCCATGGACGGGACACACTGCCCACTGCCCCCTCCATGGACGGGACACACTGCCCACTGCCCCCTCCATGGACGGGACACACTGCCCACTGCCCCCTCCATGGACGGGACACACTGCCCACTGCCCCCTCCATGGACGGGACACACTGCCCACTGCCCCCTCCATGGACGGGACACACTGCCCACTGCCCCCTCCATGGACGGGACACACTGCCCACTGCCCCCTCCATGGACGGGACACACTGCCCACTGCCCCCTCCATGGACGGGACACACTGCCCACTGCCCCCTCCATGGACGGGACACACTGCCCACTGCCCCCTCCATGGACGGGACACACTGCCCACTGCCCCCTCCATGGACGGGACACACTGCCCACTGCCCCCTCCATGGACGGGACACACTGCCCACTGCCCCCTCCATGGACGGGACACACTGCCCACTGCCCCCTCCATGGACGGGACACACTGCCCACTGCCCCCTCCATGGACGGGACACACTGCCCACTGCCCCCTCCATGGACGGGACACACTGCCCACTGCCCCCTCCATGGACGGGACACACTGCCCACTGCCCCCTCCATGGACGGGACACACTGCCCACTGCCCCCTCCATGGACGGGACACACTGCCCACTCCCCCCTCCATGGACGGGACACACTGCCCACTCCCCCCTCCATGGACGGGACAGCTTCAGCTCGTCCCTGAGATTCTGGCTTCTAGACTCTGCTCTTCCTCTCGTCCACTGGCCACTAGGAAATTGGTCACAATCCCAGGCAGAATTACTGGGGGGAAAAAATGAAGCTTTCACTTTAGGATCCCTCCCCGGCATGGGTCTCTTCCAAGGTCCTCAGGTTAAGTTTTATTATTTTCCTTAAAGGATCCCCTGGATCGTATAAGCTTCAGACTCCATACAAAACCTAGCCCGCTCCAGCCAGCTTTTACCCCGCGCCTGGAGGGGCCAAGGGCGCCCTGCTTTTCTGCAGAGATTTCACATTATTAGGTTTTAAAGACGCGAAGGGATATTTTACATTATTAAAACAAAAATGCTTAGCATTCGTTCCAAAGAGATAAATCAGAGAGTTAAATTATTTCCATTACAGAAGGACTTAGTGGCATGTTTTTCCAAAGACTCCTTTGAAGACTGTTAAATATTTAACAAAGGAAGGAACTAAAAGATGGCACGTTCCAAGAAATTAATATAAAATAAATGGACATTTAGATGTGTACTTTTGCTTTACTTTCATTTTACTGAAAGAAAAAAAAGCCTAAATGGAGGTAGATTGACAGCCGTGCGTTAAGCTTCCATCCACTGTTGCTTCTCTCTGGAATCCTTTCATTTGTACTCAGACCCCTGCTCTGCCTCTCAGCAGCGTGTGACTGTGGGAAAGCTGCTTCACCTCTCTGTGCCTGGCCTTCTCATTTGTAAGCTAAGGGTAACCACAGCGCCTGCCTGGCCCGACCGCTGCGTGAGTGCAATGGGAAAGCCCCGGAAGGCCCACAGAGCGGCCCACTCGGCGGTGCTGGCCGGCGTTATCAACCCAGCTCGAGCGGCCTAGGCCCAGCCCCCGGGGCAGTGTGAGCCCCGTAAGAAAGCAACCGCTTCTCCGAATCTGTGTCTCCCTGGTGAAACACCTACGGCAAAGCACTGCCGTGCAGCGCCCGCGAGCCCGCGTGGGCAGACTGCATACACCGTGGGCCGTGGGGACAGGCACCCTTCGAAGTACCCTGGACGGATCTGGTGCTGGGTGGATCTGGCTTCAAACCCGGTAGCCCTTCGGCCAGAGAAATGTCACTGAACTCTTATTTTTTTTTTTAAAAAAAAAAAGGTGGTTGTTTTTTATCTATCTATTTTTTATTGATTTCAGAGAGAGAGGAAGGGAGAGGGGGAGAGAGAGAGAAACACCAGTGATGAGGGTCGCTGACCGGCCGCCTCCCGCGCGGTCCTCACCTGCGCCCTCGCTGTAGTGCAGGCCCTCGGCCTGACCCTGAGCTTGGTCCCGCGGAAAGGAGGGGCCATCGTTTCTGAAGCACGGGCGCCGCCGGGGCGGGGTGGGTGCCGTGGGTCACTACACGGCCTTGCCTTTCCCCCCGGTGACGACCTTCCCTGTCGCCCTGCAGCGTGATCCAGAACGTGATAGACCACGTGCCGAAGCCCCACTACCTGGTGGCCGTGGACGAGTCCGTCCACACCCTGGAAGACTTCGTCAAGGTACGGCCACTTTACCCCGCATTTGGTGGCTTTTTTTTTTTTTTTTTTTAAATCCCCACCTGCCCGAGGATATTTTTTCCCCATTGCTTTTTGGGGAGAGAGAAACACGGATGTCAGCTGGTTGCCTCCCGCAGGCGCCCCAACTGGGGCAGGGGACGGAGCCTGCAACTGAGGCACGTGCCCGTGGCCGGAACTGAACCCGGGACCCTTCAGTCTGCGGGTCGACGCTCTGACCGCGGAGCCGAGCCGGCCAGGGCTTGGTGGCATCGCCTAAATCATTTCCCCCCTAAAGCGTGGTTATAGAATCAGGTGTGCTGGCAAGACTGGGGACTCCTAAAGTCCAGTACCCGTAAAACCAAACTCCCCACCTGCGCGGGCAGTGCGGGGGCTGGGGAGGGACCGGCCAAACGGCTTTTCTCCAGGGGCTGAGTGAGGGCAGCAGGAAAGGCCACTGAGGGTGGCCACACACAGGTCACCCCCCGGAAAACTGAAATGGCTCTGTGGACACACACCTCGATGTGTCGATGGGCGGGTTCTCCAAACCGGCCGGCAGCTCCCGGGAGCCCTGCGTCTGTCAGGGCTCCCCCTCTAGTCCCCGCTGCGCTGACCAAAGCCACCTGTCACCTGGGAGCCCAGCTAGCGTCCCCAGCCCTTCCCCCCATCGGTCACCTTCAGCTCAGAAGCTTCCTCTGCACCCTCCCTGCCTCCCCACCTCCCCGCAGGCACGCAGCCGACAGGAGCGAGTGCTCAGCGGGCTCCCCTCTGCTTTGCAGTTGGGGGACGGGGGGGGGCATTCACTTGAGAACTTTTTGAAACCATACAGGTAAACCAAACGATATTTCTCTCTTCCCCTCACAGTGCATCAGTAAGCACACCGGCCCCGGGAAAATCCAGAAAGTCCTCAAAGAAAACGCTTTCCTAACCAAGGAATTGACAGTCAGTATATAAGAGACTATTTTTTTTCTGCCCTTTTCCTAAACGGAGTGGCTCCCGAGGGGTTTGCGGTCAGGATGCCGGCCTCCAGGCCGCTCTGCGGCTCCCCCCGCACAGCCCTAAAGCAGCGATCCTGTCCCTCCCGCGGGCCTGGTTTCTGTTTGGAGCCGCTCTCGGGGCGGCGGTCAGAAGAGGCATCTGAAAGCTGTCGGACGCGGAAAATGCTGCGCAGACCCTGGGTGTCATTCCCTCTGGCCTCTGTCTAAAACCCAAGCGGGGGCGGAGATGCAGAGTCCACCCCCACCAAGGCCAGCACAGCGCTGGTCGGGCAGCCTGCGCGTCCAGCCAGCTCCGGGGTGTCCCTCTTTTGGGATGAACGGGTCACAGCACCGCGTTGGAGAAAACGTCTGAAAGCGCGGGCGCCGCTGGTTGCCTCGCAGGAGCAGAGGTGGGTGGGTGGGTGGCGATGGCATCCAAGGGACCGTTTCCCTCCACTTCCTGTTCTCTGGGATTTTTGAACCACAGGATTGCACTGTTCAAAAAAGAGACAAAATTAAACTTTTTTTTTTTTTTAACATTTTTTAAAAAATATGTTTTTAATCATTTCAGAGAGAGGGAGAGAGAAACATCAATGATGAGAGGGTCATTGACCGGCTGCCTCCTGCAGGGCCCTGACCGGGGATCGAGCCCGCACCCCGGGCATGTGCCCTGACCGGGAATCGAGCCTCCTGGTATATGGGCCGACACTCAACCAACTGGGCCACACCGGCCAGGCACAGTTAAACATTTTAAAGACGCAGCCTTCTACGTGGACTCCAGTATCTTCCTGCTCTGAGCGGCTGTGTGACCGCAGGCCGGCCGGGCCGGTGTGGGGAGGGGCAGGTGGGTCAGAGCATCGCGGCGGGCGCTCCGCCAATACCCAGTGCCGCCTTAATGGACGCGCACGTGCGGCCCATGGGTGTATATTTTTCTTTAAAAAGAATAGATTTGGGTCTGTTATAACCGTCAAAGTCAAAGTAAAGAGACACATCTCTAATGTGCCCTTACCTCTTAGCAAGAGAACATTGACCACCTCCTGGTGAACCTGAGGATGGAAGGCCTCCACGTGAAGGAGAATTTCAACATTCGCTGGGTCGCCCAGGCGGGATTTGTGGAAAATATCAACAGCATCCTCAAAGAGTACAAGCAGAGCAGAGGACTGCTGGTAAGGGCAACCGCTTCCTGCTCCGACCCCTCCCGTCGTCGCCGTCGCAGCAGTGAAAGCACGTCCTGTCTCTAATGTCCCAATTTCTTATTTCCGTTATTTTTCAGTTTGACCCATTTGTCCAGGTCTAACCACCTACATGTGTATTATATTAACGCTGTCAACCGGATATTAAACTTTGTAAACTTAACATCGGTAACGACAGCTGTGCTTGACACACGTCGAACGTGACGGGAGGCTGGAGACGGATTGTCACGGGGTTGTCTGTACAAGGAGAAAAGCGCGGTGCCTCGTATATCAGCCCTGGATATACGAGTGGGAGAGGGTGAGGGGAGGGCGGAGAAGTCTGATTCTTTTTTTTTTTTTTTTTTTTACCCTCACTCGAGGATATTTTTTCCATTGATTTTTAGAGAGTAGAAGGGAGGGAGGGAGGGGAGAGCCAGGGATCGAACCTGCAACCAAGGTACGTGCCCTAGACCTGGAATCGAACCCGAGACCCTCCGGTCTGCTGGCCGACGCTCCAGCCACTGAGCTAAACCCACCAGGGCTTACTCTCTCTCTCTCTCTTTTTTTTTTTAAAAGGAAAGTGTAAGTAAAGGCCAAGTTCAGTCCAGAAACAGTATTCATGAGGCGATAAATGAAGCACTATCTACACCGGAGCAGAGCTCCTCCCGTTTCTTTGTGGTCTTGACAGGAGTGACACGGTCACGTGGGGCTGGTGGCGTGTCCTGCTCTAGCGCTTTCCGTTGCGGGTGCTCCTGAGCTCAGGCCTAGTGTCCCGCTCCCCACGCCCAGGCCGTGCCCACTGTAGGCAGCTACCGGCCGGGGGGGTCGCGAGGAGCTCACCCGTGACCTCTCCTCTCCCAGCCCATTAAGATCTGCATCCTCGGTCCTCCTGCCGTGGGGAAGTCCAGCATCGCCACGGTCCTGACCAAGTACTACAAGCTCCATCACGTTAAGATGAAGGACGTCATTTCCGAAGCCATCGCAAAGCTGGTATGACTCCCCCCTGCTCCCCGGGGAGTTCTTCTGTCTTGAAAATGCTTTTCTTAGTCGGGTCCTAAAGAAGCCACTGATTTTACATGACGTCCTGCAGAGGGATTTGTCACATTTGTTGGATTTTATTGTCGGCCCCACTTATGAAAACGCCGAATCTCACGGGGCTCTTCTCTGTGAGGTGGAAACATCTTTTTCTCGGGTTGCCCTTGAATTTAGTCTGTCTCCAGCTGCTGCTCAAAGTATATCTCCTGTTCTCTGTTGACTGGGACCTTTTTAGGTTTTTTTGCTTTTTTTGTTATTTTTTTTTACTATGTCTTTATTGACTTCAGAGAGAGGAAGGGAGAGGGAGAGAGAGAAACATCAAGGATGAGAGTCATTGATCGGCTGCCTCCCGCAGGCCCCCTGCTGGGGATCAGAGCCCGAGACCAGGGCATGTGCCCCGACCGGGAATCAAACCCCGATCTCCTAGATCCTAGGTCTATGCTCAACTCTTGAGGCCGCCCAGCAGGGCAGTTTTTGTGTTTTTTTTAACTTATTATTATTTTTTTTAAATGTATCTTTATTGATTTCAGATAGAGGAAAGGAGGGGGAGAGAGAGAGAGAGAAACATCAGTGATGAGAGAGTCACTGATGGGCTGCCTCCCGCAGGCCCCCGACTGGGGATCGAGCCCACAGCCCGGGCCTGTGCCCCGACCGGGATTCGAACCTGGAACCGTGATCTCCTGGATCCCAGGTGGAAGCTCCACCGCTGAGCCACGCCGGGCGGGCGTTTAACTTACTATTCTTGATGTGCGTTTCTCAGGGACTTATCAGACGGTTTATGTATTAAATGCTTTTTAAAAGAGAGACTTTATTTTCTTAGAGCAGTTTTAGGCTCAGAGCAACACTGAGAGGAAGGTTCAGAGACTTCCCCACGCCTCGCCCCCGCGTGGCAGGCGGCTAGCGGGCAGCGGGCCAGCGCAGGGCACCGGCCCACTGGGGGACCCCTGTGCGCAGGAGGCCCTGGTGGCGCCCAAGTTCGGCGAGGAAGAAGACGACGGCGAGGAAGAGGAGGACGACGAGACCTCGGAGGACGCGCAGGAGCTGCTGGACGGCATCAAGGAGAGCATGGAGCAGAACGCAGGTAACGCCACCCCCCGCGGGGCCTGGCCTCTGCCTTTCCTTTCCTGCTCCAGGTAAACAGCACAACATTTTTATTTTTTAATCTATTTTATTTTTCTGACTTGGTCTGTGAGTCTTTCCGTCCCATCCCCCCCCCCCGTTACAAAAGTTTATTTGCTATTATAAGTTAAGTACAAAAATTATAACCACCACCAAGAAATTTCACTTAGGATCTCCCCTCCCAGGGAAAAAAAAAAGTCACTATTAATATTTCGGCGATGGAGCATAAGACGGGAAAGAGCCTGCCGGTGCGGCTCAGCCGCTCAGGGCACACGCCTGGGGTGCAGGCTTGGTCCCCGCCGGGCACACGCAAGAGGCAGCACATTGATGCTCATTCGCACATCTGTGTTCCTCTCTCTCTCCCTCTCCCTTCCTCTCTTGCTAAAAATCAATAAAAAGATTTTTTTTTTTTTTTTTTTAAAAAAAGGGTGGGAAAGAACAACCTAAGTTTTAAAAATCAAATGTGTAGTCATAAATATTTTATAAGCATCAAAAATCATTAATTAAAAGGCAAAAGACAAACCAGGAAAAAATGCTTGCTGCCAGTATGACAGTTAATACCCTTAATATATAAAATACTCAGGCAAACCAATAAAATCATTAAATCCTTAATAGAAAAAAATTGATGAATAACGCAGACCCGTAATTGATGCAGGAAGAAATATACCAGATCCGTGGGAAAATATCCCTACTCGTGGTTGGACACAAGAAACATCCAAACCAAAGATGTAGAGAATTTTTATAAGAATTTGAGCCAAACTGACGACATATGCCTGGGAGCAAAATCTCAAATGCTCTGAAGAATAAATAACAGGGCGGCCTCGGTTAAGATTAAGATTAAGGACAATTACAGAGGTGGGAGGAAGCGAGGCGGAGACTCGGTCTCGGGATAGTGAACCAGATTATGTGCTGGCTCTCGTGACAGTTAACACCCCTCGGGGAGCATTACTTCAGGCGGTTCAGCCGGGTGCCCAAGAACAAATGCGCAGCGCTGGCCTAAGACCTGTCGCTGAGAAGTTCTGTTCCTGGGGCCTGACTGCCCGCCACGGCCCGCCCAGTTAGGGATTTATGATCAGGTCACCCTGCAGGTTACTTCCGTAGAACCCCTTTCATGCATCCCCACACCCCCTTGGTAGTTTTAACCAGTTATCTGAGCAAACTCATCAAGTCAAGTGTTATTATCAACTCAAAATCTGGACCCATCTCCTCCCCACCCGGGGTGGAATTCGAGGCTGGTCCCCCTGCAGCCCCGAGCTAATAAGGGAGTAGCCCCTTGTTTGTTGGTGCTTTAAGAAGGCCATTCGGACGTCACGCGCTGGCCTTCTGCCCAGAGGGAAACCGTCGTCAGCGGTTCTGAGGAAAACCATCTCACTTTTATACTTAGCTGAGTTCCTCTGCTCTCCTAGGTTCTTCTGGCTGCTCTAATAATTAAATCTACATGAGGCAGACTAGCGAGGAAATAACCAAGTTTAATGACACACCTCTGCGTGGGGCTCCACATGCGTGGGAGGGTCAGAGACCATGCTGCGTGAGAGGCTGAGACAGGCGGGGAAGGAGGGGTCGTCACGTTCTGAGCCAGGGCGAGGTGCAGCCGTTTGTCTTGCCACACAGGTTAAAAAAATCATTTCTGGTGATAACTCTTGTTATGGGCAAGGCCCCTAGTTTAAATTCTTTAAGGGAGAGGTAAAAGGTTCTCGTAAACCCAAAGGGTCTCAGTTGCCTTCAGTTCAAAATAACTCACAGGTAAAGTGACACATTTTGGGGAAGCATGTTCTGAACCCCTACATCTTTAATTATTGTTCCAGTTTTTTACATTTTTATTTAATTTTTTTTTAAATTTACCTACTGATTTGAGAGAGAGAGAGGAAGGGAGAGAGAGTGACAAACATTAGTTTGCTGTTCCACTTACGTATGCAGTCGTTGGTCGATTCATGCATGTGCCCTGACTAGAGATCGAACCCGCAGCCTTGGGATATCCGGATAATGCTCTAGCCAACTGAGCGACCCGGCCAGGGCCACTGTGCCCGTTTTAGAGCAAACGTCTCCCTCCTCGGCCTCCCCAAGCAATTGTGGTGGCGGCCGAGGCTCGAGAGGGACCTGTCAAGGGGGCCAAGGTCAGAAATGACATGCAGACTGGAAGAGACAGGGAACAGGGCGGGGCCCGGTCTCCTCTGCAGCTTTAAAGAGAACGGTGCCCTTGAGGCTCAGATCAAGCTTGATTTTTATTCAAATTCAGCAAACGTTTATTGAGCAGCTACTAATAAATCGTGTGCTAGCAGCATACACGGATACTCTCTCAATTCACACGGCGGAAGTGTTTACCATTGTGTATAAGGTTTTAGGGGTATAATATCAATCCAGGATTGCCCAGCTGGCGCGGCTCAGCAGTTAAGCATCGGCCTGGGATCCAGGCGATGGAGGTTCGATTCCCGGTCAGGGCACACGCCCGGGTTTTGGGCCCGATCCCTAGTAAGGGGCGTGCAGGAGGCAGCCCATCAGTGACTCCCTTATCACTGGTGTTTCTATCTCTCCCTCTCCCTTCCTGTCTCTGAAATCAATAAAAACATATTTTTAAAAAACAGGATTGAGGAACCCCTGCCGCTCAGCAGGGGCAGTGAATGTCTCCACTGGCTGCCGCTCCGCTGTGCCGGGGGAAGCGCCCTGGGCTCTGCCCTTTCTCGGAGCCCAGCCCATCGGGTCCTGCCCCTTGCTGTGCGCTGGACTCCACGGGCCCTGTCTGAAACCCCAAACCGCACGTTTTCCCCTCCGATGGAAAAATAAGGGACTGTTTACACGGTCATTTTTCAGGTGACCGTAGGATGGGACCCCCTACGTGGAACGTGGCTCCGCAATGATATTTTTCTTTCTTTTGACTAGGTCGCCTGGAAGATCAGTATGTCATTCGATTTGTGAAAGAAAAGCTAAAATCTATGCCTTGCAGGAATCAAGGCTACATTTTGGATGGATTCCCAAAGACCTACGACCAAGCCAAGGACCTGTTCAGCAGTGAGTCCGGCGCCCGCTGCCCTGGCCGCGCGCAGCTCTGCTCTGCTGGTGGCGACCGTCTCATTTTCTGAGCCCGGCGTGCTAATGATACAGTAAACGCAACAGTGTATATTTGTTTCCTTAGAGGACGAGGAGGAAGAGGAGGAGGAAGTCAAAGGCAAGATGTTTCCCTTCGACAAAGTAACCATCCCTGGTAAGTGCAAAGCATCCCTCCGAGGTCAGGTCTAAGGCGCGCCGCCTGGTAGCTTCCTCCTTTGTGCCAGAGCGATCTTTCTGATGCGAATAAAGTGGCCTTTATTGTTTGCCTCTTGGAGAAAAACAAGTGAAATGATACACTTAAAATCAAGTTTCCAAGCTAAGGGATGCACTGGGGGTGAACCTCGGGGACGTTAAGGCCCTTGGAGAATGTTTATTCCTGCTGCTCCCTCCTGGAAACAAAGCGAAACGCAGCCGGTCTGCCGATGCCGCGACCTCCGAGCCTGCGGGGCGGGCGAGGCCACCAGGGACCCAGGGACAGGGGCGCTGCCACCCCGCCCCGACCTGTTTCAGGGGCCAGCGAGGCCGTCGCCGTTCCAGGAGACACTGGGGATCGGGCGCTGAGCGGGGCAGGGAAAGCCCTCCGGCCTGCTGTGGCTCCGCAGCAGGTTCGTCCCGTCACGTATTTGCACGGAGGTTTCGCAACGTGCTCCTGAAAGAGCGGCATAAACAACTTAAGCCAGGAAAAGGGAGCTGCTGAGTAGCTAGCAGGCATCTCTTCTGACCTTGCCGTGAACTTTAAAAGTTTTTCTCTCTCTCTCTCTCTCTCCCTCTCCTTTTTTTAAAATCAGTTTGCCTGAGGTGTGATCACAGGAGGTAATCTCTGCCCATATGGCATTTACAAGCTATTTCCAACAACTTAGTACAAGGTTGTGTCGCAGAGGGGAGAACTCCCCCCCACACACCCTTCTTGAGCTCTTAGGGCTGGACTCGTGATAAAATAATTGATAGAGGAGAAAAGCCACTTAATACATGCGCACAAGAGAATCATAATAAGATGCTCAGGTCATAAAACGAGAGTCAAGGGAACGATCGAACCAGGTACCTTTTAAATACTTTTTAGACAAACAATCAAGCGATGAGAAGGTGGCAGAAGAAAGACCGTGCTTGTTAAAAAGGAATCTAAGCAAGTCTGGGACATTCCTCTCCTCAGGAACCTAAGCGGAGTTTGGGCTTGAGTAGTAAACTGATACGGGTTACAGGGCTTGTTTACACACGCTTTCCATCCGGTTGCCTCAGCCCTCAGGAGCAGGGAGGTGCCGGTCACACGGGAGAGTCACCTCCTGCTCTTAGCGGGACAGAGATCTCAGGATTTTCTTCTTGCGTAATTTTTAAAGTAACTTTAGTTCAAAACAATCCATGTGCCACCGTGGGATATCTTGGGGTGGCCTGCCCTGGGCCCCGACGGTTGTAACTCAGAAGGGCCTGCTGTTCACTTGGGTCAAAGTCCCCGGGAAAGTGGGGTCACCTCTGTGACCCTCCCCTCCTCTCGGTCCAGGCACAGCTCACAGCGGTGCTCACAGAAGCGCCGGGACCACCAGCGAGCAGCATCCTCGGGGATGGAGGTTCGTGGCAGGAGCATGAAAGGGATGGGTTGTCTCATATTTCCCACTCATTTATGTATTTGCCTTAGAAAAAAGCTAAAAAGTAAAGTCAATTACACTAAATAATCAGGTCTACCCACTGCATGGGCGTTTATCACCTCCGGGTAGTATTTATTCTTCACAAACCCTGCCATAAATCGTTGTCTTATCATGGAGGCAGGAATAGGTAAAATTGAGCTCAGCTCACCATTTGTCATACCCCAGACACCCCGGGAGATGAGCTCCTTGAACCTTCCCACTATCCTGCAAGGTGGGAATTACTCCCAGGTCTACGGATCCCAGGAGCTGAGGCCCACAGACTGATCCAGGCCCACTTCACTGGGAAAGGGGGGTGGGGGTGGCTTCAGTGCAAACCCAGGCCTCCTCATCTACTGCCTCCAAAAAAGCAGAATTAATGAACGCCCTTCATAAGATAAAGAAATGGAAACAGGTAAAACGAGGAATGATTCTTTATCATGGTCCCCTGGGCTTTCCTCTCTTTGTTGGACGCAGTCCAAAAGCATCTCAGATGTTATCCATTTGGAATGTTTAGTGTGTTTTTTGGTAAATTACTCCCTTTCCGGAAATTACCATTATTTTCTATCTTCCTGAAAGAAATTAGAGAGTGTCTCACTTGTACCCCCAGGATTTTAATGTATGGAGGTGACTGAGTGACACCACAAGAGCCTAATGCCATTGAAAGAAGAATTTGTTACGTTTCCCCAGAGAAGGGGGTGTACAGGGCCACATGTGGAAGCACCAGGTAGAAGCAAGAGGCGGGGGACCATCTAAAACACAGCCTTTACTGGGGTTTCCGTGGGAAAGTCAGGGCAGGACAGAGTAAACAGCTTTTTCAGAAGACTGCACGGTTTGTGTAATTCCAGTGGGCTCTGGTCTCTAGTTGCCTGGTGCCGGGCCCTGGATGGTGTCAGGCAGGGGAGAGGTTGGCCTGGTGTGTGTTACAGAAAGGGGGCGGTTGCCTGCGTATGAGAGGCCGGCTCCCAATTAAGTTGCTAACCATGTTTAGAAATCAGCTAGCCCTGCCTAGGAGGGGCAGCCTCCCCCCAGGTTGGTGAGGCCTCCTCTAGATGTCAAAACATCATAAGATACAGAAAATAACATGATTAATACCAGCATCCATGCTGGACTTGCGTGATAACACCTTTGAATCTATGGTATTACATCCAGTCCTGGGGGTAAATCATCGCATTTCTCCTCTGCTGCTGGCCTATATCAAGTTTGATTCCTTTCAGATCTCCTAGTCGAAAGAGACAAGTTTAAAGTTGTACCTACCTGATGAACATGGAAACGTGTTAAAACTTTGATTTTCACATGACTCCAGAGAGCCGAATACAGTGACCTCGTTTTGTACAGTCCTACCAAACAGAAATCTACTTGCTCTCCACAGTTAGCCAACCCAAGGAAAGTGGACATTCTGAATAATTATCTCAAGATACTGCAAAATCCTGAAGTTTTCCCTGAATCATAAAAGATAAAGAACTTTTAAAAATATGCCATCGCCAGGCCGGTGTAGCTCAGTGGTTGAGCATCGACCTATGATCCAGGAGATCACGGTTTGCTTCTCAGTCAGGGCACAGGCCCCGTTTTCCCGCTCGATCCCCAGCAGGGGGCGTGCAGGAGGCAGAATGACTCTCATCCTTGATGTTTCTCTCTCTCTCTTTCCCTTTCTCTCTCTGAAATCAATAAAAATATATTTAAAATAAATATATATATACATATATATATATATCATCTAGTGGGAAATATATTTCATCATATTAAAATTCTTAGAAAATTGGAAGCTAAGCATATCACTCATTATGCACAATATTGATTAACTGGACCCTTCCACCTCCCAGTCACTGGAAAAAAGATACAGTATTATATTTTGAAATTCATAGATTAACAGAATTATTAAATTTTGACCTCGATAACTGATGTCATGGAGCTTCAATAGATTCAATTTCCAGTGAACTTATTGACGTAATTCCTATTTAAGTACTACAGCAGCATCTGGGGTCCAGCTGTGCCCTTTTCTTTTCAAAATATAGCTACTCAGGAAAATCAAATGATCAACGGTGAGCATCTAATCTAATTAAGTTAGGTCAGAATCGCGGTGGTATCAGGCTATGGCTGAGCCCTGTCCTCAGCTTCTCCCCACTGTTCACACACGAAGCGGGCAATGTTCACACAAGTTCCCTGTGCCCCCCGGGCGCGCCCTGCCCTGGGCTCTGCGCTTCACCTTTACTTTTCTTGCTCATTCAAGAAAGCATGTTAGACTGTAGTTAAGTGAGAGTGACATCATTATGTGGCAAACCAATAAAATTTTTGAATAAAAATTAAAACATTCCCAAGCTCCGCCAGGCTCTCACAGGCAGGAGTCCCCGTTTGTATTAATTTGGCAAATCAGCTATTGAAGCATTTCGCTCGTAGCCACCAGTCTCCTTGGGGATTGACTGGGAAGCTGGTAACAGATACCACAGGGTTACTAGAGATTTGATATTTATAATTTCTGCTGCTTTTATTAAAAGGAAGGGAGGGAAGGAGGGAGGGAAAGAAAAATAATAGATCCTTCAATTACCAATTGGTCGGGCCTCAGAGGGTAGTCGGGAAACATCCCTGGTTTGCGTGCGCTTTACCTCCAAGTTGTCAGGCCCCTGCAGCAACGCCAGGTCTCGGCTGCCGCCCAGCTCCTGCTGGTCACGCAACCCGCAGTCACTGGGTTAACTCGGGAGCCTCCCCTTCTCCCCAGAATTCGTCTGTGCGCTGGACGCCTCGGACGAGTTCCTGAAGTGTCGGGTGATGAACCTCCCCGAGAGCGTGGTGGCCGAGACCCACTACAGCCAGGACCGCTTCCTCCGGAGCCTGAGCAACTACCGGGACATCAATACCGAAGACGAGACGGTCTTCAACTATTTTGATGAGCTTGAAATCCACCTGATACATATCGGTAAGAAATGAACTCAAAGATAAGGCGAAGGTGGGGAGCCACCGTGGTGCCAGGACCCCCGGCCCGCCCCAGAGCGAGCCTGTGGCGGGGCTGGGGGAGGACGGAAGGGTTGCGAAGTCGCGGGGTGGACGGGGCACGTCTCCTGGGTTTAAACAAGGCACGTCCCCTGGGGAGCCCCACTTGAGGATTTGGTGGTGGAGCGTTGTTTTCTCAAAATACATGGATATATTATGAAGTGGAATACTGCATTTTTAAAGGGCATTTCAAAGAAGTGTGTTTGCTGCAGGCTGCTTTGGGCCATTTCCCCAGCTTCCTTGGGGACAGTCCCTCCTGGCCTTTAGACTAGCCAGCTGACCCCCATAGCTACTCAGAAAAGCAAATCACTCTCCACTGTTATTTCTTCGGTTTCCTCTAAACACTTCTCTCGGAACTTAGCTCACAGCGAGCACCCAGGAAACATGCCCTCTCATCGCCCTCACCATGATACCGTGGGTCCTGGCTCCAAATCTCAGCTGTCGTAGCCGTCCCCACTCCCCTTGGCTTGGTGAACCCCTAAACTTCCTTTCTGGTTGTCTGGGTACTTGACACTTCTTCCTCCTTCGGGGAGAAAGCCCAGCTTGGTGGGAGCTTAGTGGCCAGGCTGAGCGCTTGGGCCGCCCAAGGCCTCTCTTCACCCCCGAGCGCCAGATGGGGCAGCGTTTGGACCCTGGAGTATGGGAGGCTTGGAGCTAATGTCGCAGGAGAGCCGATGCCCTTCCAGCTCCGCCCGGGTTTTTCTCATCTGTGAAAGCGAATAATCCCTGGCGTGTGGAGTTCTTCCAAATGGTTGAGATAAGAGATAGGGAGTATCTGGCACGTAGAAGGAGTTCAAAAGTGGTAATTTCGTTTTCCCGACCAACACTAAGCCATGAAATGGCCTAAGAAAGAAAAAGATAACACTGCGTGTCAGCCTGCACACTCTTCTCTGTTTCGCAGCCTCGGAAGTGACTGGGCCTTGCCCTCGCCTGACTCTGTCTGTGCATATTGGATATATTTTACACGGTTTGCACGTAAAGCTGAGGATCTGACACCTACCAATATGGGAAGTCCTTTGCCCTATTTAATTAGAGAACTAGGAAAAAATGGTGAGCAAATTTCACAAAAATAATAATTGTCATCTTTTCCGTAAAACCCCGGAAGCTATTTATGGCGAGATGAGCAGGGCCCCAGGAGAAATGCCGAGAGACACAGAAGCGGCGGGAGGAGTGAACGAGGGGCCATCGTGCTCCTGTCTCATTCTGTGCCCCACACGCCTGGCGGCCTCTCCACGCTGACGACCCGGAGATAATAGAAGCAAGGGGGAGAAATGTACCGTCAGGATGGGCGTGGGGGAGGGTTCCGCCAGGGGTGCGGCCTGGCCTCAGAAGGGTCTGGAATGGCCGGGAAAGGTGCTGGCACCCACATTCCCGCCCTGCGTCTCTGAACTCCACTTCTCGCTCCTTGGACCAGGGTCTCTCCCTCTCTCCTCTCTGGCTCACGTGGTGGCCTGGGGCAGCCCTGCCACCTGGAGTTTCTGTGCTACACTGGAGCCAAGCCCGGAGCTGGACGTGACTTTCAGTCCTAATTCCACATTCCAAGAAGGGCAGGTCAGAGGCCACACGGCGCCCGCTGGGTCAGGTGCCCATCCCCACCCCCCAGGGTCAGGGCGAAGTATTGCTGGGGGCAGCTCTGTCCTCTGTGAGCCCCTCCTCCAAAAGTGAGCCTCTTCAAAGAAGTTTCAGCCCAGCCGGCGTGGCTCAGCGGTTCAGCATTGACCTGGGATCCAGGGGATCTCGGTTTGATCCCGGTCAGGGCACATGCCCGGGCTTCCGGCTGGACCCCAGTGCAGGAGGCAGCCGATCAGTGACTCCTCACTGATGTTTCTCTCTCTCTCTCCCTCTCCCTTCCTCTCTCTGAAATCAATAAGGACATTAAAAAAATTTAAAAAACACACAACCAGTTTCAGAGCCCTTTCAAGCACATGAAGGTTGTGTTTTCTAGAGGAATCCAGGGAAAATACATTTAAATGTCGGAGTTCAGGCGAGTTTTTGTCTTTGTTTTTGCGGCCTTTTGGCTGCTTCTACCCACTAACTGATACATTGTCCCTGTTCTTCCCTCTGTGCCTGGAGTCTAGGTCACGGTTACAGGGTATGAACATGGGGCGGGGGAGAGGTTCCCCGGGAGGAAGGTCCGGGGTGCCGGGCAGCATATGCATTCAGGGCACCTTCCAAGGAAACCCAAGAGAGGGTGCAGAATTTACTATTATTCACTATTTAGGGACTATAGGAGACTCGATACCAAACTGCCTTTCTCTTTTTTTTTTCTTCTTGGTTCTGATATTAACATTAGTCAGATAGTGTGCAGTTTGGACTTTTTCCTATTCGGGTAAGCTAACTGAAACAGTTAATTTTTTAAGTAAATGAAAAACATGTCCCAAAATGACTGACTCTCAGAAACACAAAAGAAACCAGGAGGTCTCCCAGTTGGGCCTCCAACAAATGTAGGACTTCCCTCTATGGAAACCCCAACTGAAGTGTTCCAGCCTTTGCTTGAATGCTTCCAGGAATGGGGGACTCGCTCCTTTGAGGAAGTCCATTCCCCCCTCCACCATCCACCCAATTAAACCAACAGTGACTGTCAGAACACATAGACAGGAGCCCAGCCTTCCTCCCTGTTTCCCAGCCCCCGTCTGGTATTTGCCAGGGAGACAAGACATTCTGGACCGTGCTGGCAACTCGGAAAGGAACCCCCGTGTGGAAATTCACATAACTTAACCACCACCAGTTTACAGTGATAAAGAATCGTCCCGAACGTGGTCTCAGAGTCTACTGCAGACAGGCCCCGAACCAAGTATGTGCTGATCGCCTCCCTCTCTCCTGGTGTTCAGACGTAGGACGGCTCGAAGACGCTCAGAACAGGCTCGCTATCAAGCAGCTCATCAAGGAGATTGGGGAGCCTCGGAATTACGGCTTAACAGAGGAGGAAAAGGCCGAAGAGGAGCGGAAGGCTGCTGAGGGCCGCCTGGCCAAGGAGGCGATGGAGGAGGCCGAGCGGGAGCACCGGGAGGCCTTGGAGACGGCGGAGAAGATCGCGCGCTGGGAGGAGTGGGTGAGTGTGCGTGTGCGCGTGTGCATGTGTGTGCATGTGCACGTGCGCACATGTGTGCATGCACCTGTGCAGGGGGGCCCCGCAAAGCCACTTAGGCCTATTGCGCTTCCGATCCTGCTGATAGAGAAATGTCACAGAAATACCCCAAATAAGCTTTGTTTACGAGTTTATTTAGTCATCTGTACCATTTTTAGCATGGCGCCCATAATCCTTTCCTTAGTATAAATAGCTAGCCAACACCAGTAGTAGTATCACACACGTGTGACGTGTACCATTTTGCTGCAGGCCGACCTTGTGATTTCATCGGATTTTCCTCCATTTACCCACCTAACCTGGGTGGTCAGCCCCGTGCCACCCCCCTGCCCAGGTCAGAGTCTCCGCCGCTCTGCTCCCCACAGCAGCGCTCAGTGCCACACGCCTCTCCACTCACCCGGGTGGGAGTCTCTCCTGACCTACCTGGCTGCGCTCCCCACTGGACTCCCCAGCTCCGCCCCAACCCCCTTGTCTCTTCCAGGCAGCCCCCGCTCCACCGCCACTCTGCTCAAGCTCCTCACGGGCTGACCGTCGCATGAGACGAAAGCCCAAACTCCTCATCGGGCCCCCAAGGGCTTTGGGGACCTGGCTGCTGCTAAGGTTTCCCAGTGCCTCTGAACGTGCGCCACCTGCGTGACCGGCTTCCTCACTGCTTTTTGAGTCTTTGCTAGAAGTCATCTTTCCAACGAGGCCTTTCCTGGACATCAGCCACATTTAAAATTTCAACCCTGGCCCGGCTGGTTAGCTCAGCTGGTTGGAGCGTTGTCACAATGCGCCAACATTGAGGGCTCGATACCTGGTCAGGGCACAAACAAAAATCAGCCGATGAATGCACCGATGAATAAGTATCTCTCTCTCTCTCCTCCTCTGTCTCTAAAATTAGTAAATAAAATAAAGTAGGATTTCAACCCCTGCTCCTCTCCAAAACATGCCATGTCCCCTTTTATACTTTTTAACTTCTCTCTTTCCACTTGAATTCTATCTAATGTATGGAAGGGAGGGGGGAGGGAAGGAGGGAGGATTCCTTATGCACACATCTCCCTGTGCCTGACTGTCCCCTTAGCACACCTTTCTAAGTTTTGCGAAGTCAGACTATGTGCATGTGGTTTCATTTTTGATTCACATTTCTGAGCTATCCCAGGCAAGGGTAAACAAGGTCACAGTTTACGGTGTAGCTCCCTGACCACCTCCCACCCTGCTTTCTCGATTTTGCGCACACATGCCACTCACACACATGCCACTCTGGTAAACAAAAAACCGATCTCATTGTTTGTGTTCATTGTTCTGATCACAAATTTAATGACTTTTCCTGAGTTAGGAATTTACGTTTCTTCTTATGCCGCACATTTTCTCTGCGCATGCCAGAGCTGTGTGTCCTTTGCTTAATATTTCGCAAGAAAACTCCCGATAAGGTAGTACAAGGGAAACAGGAATGGGCCGAGCAAACAGCCTCCCAGGCCGTCCAAATCCGGCTCCACTCTCTTCGTAGGTCCGTGGCCTTGCGCATGTTACTGTGTGTCCCAGCTTGTCCAAGTGTGAAACGAGGATGGTTACAGCACCTACTGCACAGAGTCGTGGCAGGGACTAAGGAGTTAATATGTGTAAAAACATGCAGGCAGTCCTGGCACATAGTGTGCACTCCAGTCAGGTCTTAGCGTTTGATAATATGTTGCAAATAGTCTTTCTCAGTTCATCCTTTATCTTCTAACATCACTTATGGTGTTTCTTCTGGTCATAAAAATATTTATGTTTACATGTGGTCAAATCCATCAGTCTTTTCCCATTTTGATTTCTGGGTTTGCTATCTTGCTGGGAAAGACCTTTTTAATTAAAAAAAATCAATTAGAACTCTTTATCTTGCAAATGACAGAAAAGTACATTTAAAATGGATTAGAAAGAAAATTGATTCACGTAGCAGAAAAGGCCAGGGGTAGGGCTGGCTTCAGGCGAGGCTTGATATAGGTGCTCAGATGATGTCACCAAGGACCTGGGATCCCTCTCTCTGCTCCACCTTCTTTGTTGGTGTCATTCTCGGGCTCTTCCTGATGTGTCCATGGACAGGAGGTGGGCTGGACTGATGGGCTCAGGTTCCACCCAACCCACTAGCCTGAGAAGGAAGATTTCTCAAAGGAAATATGGATTTTTCCCAAGGGAGGGTGGCTGTATGCTGACCAAGAAATAACACATCCACCAAACCAGTACCTTCTAGACCGTCTGTTAGCACTTCTATGAGCCTTTCCTTTCCCCTTCCCTCTCTTTCCCTTCCCTCCCTTCCCTCCTCCCTCCTTCCTTCCCTCCTTCCCTCCTTCCTTCCTTCCTTCCCTCCTTCCCTCCTTCCT